TTGGTCTCGTCTAAGCGTTACGGGGAGCATTAGAAGTGAACCTGAAATGGGCAGTATATCGAGTGAAATATCACAAAATTGAAAGATCCGAAGATCTGGGTGGGAGGTTCACGACTAAGCCCAAAAACAAGGTGTAGAGTCCCGTCATGTCTCCAGAACCACTTGTTCAGCGGTCAGCTGGGACGGGAAAAAGTCCAGGGAAGTCAGGAGCAGTGTGGTATATACCACGCTCTATCAGACAGGACCGTAATGAAGCACAAGGCACTGATTGAAGGTGGAACGAATCCCACCATCGCGCCACCATAACGGCGTAGGCCACACCAGGCGCCCCGGTTGACAGGTGAGCAGGCCACACAGACGTACGCAGGCCGGCTGCACACTGGTGGTTGCTCACGCATCTGAGCAGGCGCGCTGGTGGGTAGGCCGTAGGCTCCTCGTGCGGAGTCTCGTCCTGCTGTCCTCGTGTCGGTCGTAACGCACCGCAATGCAGAGCTCGCCATCTGCCGGTCTACCACAACCGCTTCGCACACATAGCTGGTAGTGCTCCGCTCGTGAGGTGTCAGTCAGCCTACCGCAGGTCCATAGCAGATAGCTGGTCAGGTTTGAGGATAGAATCGGTCACATAGGTGACCGACCCGTGAGTCTTGCGACACGAAACCATAAGAGGCGGGAGGGGTGCCGAGGCAGGGCACGGAGTTGGGAGCGGGTGCCGGGCCGAAGCCCATCAGCACCGAGAACCGTAATTGACGGGTCTTGTTTGGCATGTCGGATACGGGAGTGGAGAAAGGAGGGAAGGAATAGGATTGGGAGAGAAAGAGCGGGCACTAGAGGCCCGAATTAAATGAATTACTTACAACTGTTTGGGACTGTGAAGTCTTTTAATGCTTTATTATAATAAAAATGGTTAAATGAAAGGAGGGAAGGAATAGGATTGGGAGAGAAAGAGCGGGCACTAGAGGCCCGAATTAAATGAATTACTTACAACTGTTTGGGACTGTGAAGTCTTTTAATGCTTTATTATAATAAAAATGGTTAAAAGTACATAAACTAGTGGACAATGGAGTCCACCAAAAGAAGAGAACACGTCCACACGATTAAGAGTCCAGAGATTAACTGAATTAAATGGATCTGTTCTGTTCAGATCCAAAGAAGAAGTGACAGAGCGCAAGTGCACTCATGACCTCAAAGCTAGTGTATAATTGGTTAACGCAAAGTGCGTAAAAGTGAATGTGTACTCCTATGGAAAGCTATTGGCTACAATTATGCAGTAGTAGTATTATTATTAAAACATGTATTCTAATGGGTTTTGTAATACGGGGAAAGCTACAATAAACCCAAGGATTAACTGTCAGTAAGCAGGGTGTCTGCGTCGACACCCACGGGGTAGTCAGGGTATGCCTGAAACCGAACCTATATTTCTTCTATAACTATGAATAAGTGTATACTGTAATAATGGCTTAAGACACGGCGATAGTCGCCTTAACTCAAAGTACACAATTAGAATGGGCAAGTATACTAGAGAGTGAGACAATACTCAGCGACACTTCAGATGGTCAAGTGTCCGGTGAGTACTAATTAATGGGTAAGTCCAAACCTGACGTTACAATATTTATTAATTATTTTGTTTATTTCATATTTAATAAACTCGTGATTTTTATGATTTTTATTTAACTGTTCATAGTAGTTGGATTCTATGAAATTGTAAAAACTCTGCTTACACTTAATTAAAACACTGGATTTATATAGATTTAATAATGTTTTGTTTGTAACTTTTGTAAAAATATTATCACAAATAGTGCTATATTTTTTACGAAATGTTTCGTCAGTAAATGTCCCGCTTTTTAATAAAGTACTCATTTCTTTATCGTATATATCTTTACACATTTCATCGCATTTTTCCAATTTTTCTTTATTTTTGGCATTAATTTGCAATATTTCTTGTTTGTAGTTATTTATCGCTCTTTCTATCAATTCATCGTATTTTTCGCTTAAATAATAATCATTTTTAAACAATTCTTTGATCTCTTTATCTGTCAGTAAAAAGTGTTTCATTTGTGTCTCGTTTATAAAATACACGTCTGATTCGCAAAGTTGTTCACATCTTGACATAAATTCATTATAGATTGAGTCAAACTTTTCGTAAATCACTTTCTGTTCATTAATATACTCGGTCAATGTTTGTAAATACCATGATTTCAATAAATTAAATTTGCTTGACCTTTGCTCAAATTCCACATTTATTTTATGCAGGATCTCAACAAATATTTCATCAAAATTTCCACTTTTAATATTACATTCAAAATCTTCATTGAGTTTCTTTTGTAATACAGTAAAATTCAATTGCTTTTAACTTATGATCAAATGATTTTTACGAACGCGCGCCTTCGGTCAAATCATTTTTACGTTCAGTCAATTCATTATGACATCAGTGAGAGTTGTATGCAATGAATGCAGTCATTGAAAGAGTGCGACGTTTCATTCGATTGTTGTCGCAGTGCTTGCAATACAACACTCACTGATGTAATAATGAATTGACTGAACGTAAAAATGATTTGACCGAAGGCGCGCGTTCGTAAAAATCATTTGATCATAAGTTAAAAGCAATTGAATTTTACTGTAATTTAGTAAAAATATCCGCCAATTCTGTCACCAATTGATTGCCAATTATTGACATATTTTTGCACTCATTTTCCAATAAAAATTTCTCTTCATTTATTTTGTCGTCCAATAAATCCGAGAACTCTTTGGATACTTTTTCCGGAAATTTCTCACTAAATTCCGTAATGAGTTCTTCAATACATTTATCATTTGCTGATATATCAGCGGACAGATCAATACTATTATTATTATCATTATTAGTATTGTTGTTATTATCAATTTGATTGTACATGGTAATCTGACTTTCCAAAAAACACATCAATTGACTGCTGTTTGAATATGTAATACCTTTTGTGATCATTCTATTAACATCGACCACATCTATACGGATAAAAGCGCCAATTTGTCCGACATATTCCCGGGAAAGTTCCCTTACTTTCCAGTCCGTGTTTGTGGTGGTATGTGAGGGACAGGCGACTAAATAACTGCCATTTTTATTAAACTCTCGGAGAAGTTTTTGAAAACTTTCCAATTGATCTTGAATTACAAACATATTAGACTCCATTTTCTCAAAATAAATTAATTCCCATTTTTTAACGTATTAAGTAATTGTTCGTATGAATTGACCGGGATCACATATTCATTGCCTGAACCATCAGGGTGTTTCTGTTATAAAAATTATAGTATAGTATTATATAAATACTTTAATATAATTACCCTAATATCCTGTAGATAGCGCGCACCCGGTGTATAACGCGCCACTAATTTTGGCAGGAATTTCACTTTTTTCAATAGATAACGCGCGCGTTATCTATAGGATATTAGGGTAATAATATAAATTTAGTTTATTTACATCAACACCAGGTCTAGTCATTATAACAATTGTTGATATGTTTGATATAAAACGTATGGTATTAATCAGTGTTGTGCTTCCAACAAGATCACCAAATGAATAAGGGTAGTTTTGCAAATTGACCAATATTACTGCCACACGTGTTTGAGCCAGTTCAATAATAATGGGTTCAGACCACATCTCAATGCTGGGACTCAATTCCGATTCCTGGCCATCACAATTTGTATTTGTGGTTTTAAATCCATGATCATGTTTAAGAATGACATTATGTGGCCATTGACCATGGTCATTGTGGTCATCAGGATTATTGTGTTGTCTCTGTAAGTAATCTAATATAAGATTAGCAGTGAAAGTGTTTCCCTCGAAATGCGGTCCAATCACTGATACGATCGCTATTTTATGCCATTCTTTATCATTCAGTTTACGGAATATTTCTTCGATTAAATGTTTGTTTAAATGAAATGTGTTTTCAATCACTTCAACCACTCGTATGTTTGCCATTAATTATGTCTTTAGATATGAAAACAATGTCTTAATTGTAGAAAAAATTACAAAACATTATTATTAAATTAAAATAAAATAAATTAATTATATTAATAATTATTTCAACAGATTGTCTTGTATTATTTTATACTTTTGTTATAAATTCATTTAGCAATTTATCTTTACGTTGGATTAATTAATAATGAATAACCACATTTTTATTATTAACTTTATTAAGTATTTAACATTACAATGAATATTATGATAAACAATTAGATTTGACATTTTATTCTAGATTATACATAAGGCATAATACTATCATTATATAAACTTTGTTTTTGAATAATCTGATAATGTCCATAATGTTGGTTAAAAACATTAAATTGTGGTCAAATTGTAATTATAATTGCTGACAGAAGTTTTAACTTATTATATAGATTTTTGGCTAAAATATTTATAATTTATTTTTATTATTTTACTAGTTTTTACTTGCACTTATTTTTAGTTTAATTTTAAAACTATACATAGCTGTAGTTTAAAAACAATAAAATAATTAAAAATATTAAATAGCTACTTACATCTGAGAATTGGCAAATCATTATAGATTGTAAAAATACAAATAAAATAGTTTCATTAATTTTACTAAATGCATTGATTGCATTTATAACATATTTTAAATTACAATACATTTAAGTGCTTGTTAACAAATACAGTGCTATTAACAGTAAACCCAAAAGTAATAAAATATCATATAGACATAGTTACCATACTGATATTATCAAATTGTAAAACTACAAATAAAATAATGATATTAATTTTTATCACATTTTATAACTTACATTATAGTAACGTTATTTAATAATAATATCATATACAATATAAACTTAACCAGATGTAGCCAGTTGTGCAAATTATATATTAAAATTAATTATAGCATAATCTTTTATTAATAATAATGATAAATTATTTAGTTATTATGAGTCATAATTTATGACAATGTCAGGTTCAATTAACATTTTCATAATTCAAAATTGCTTAAAAGTGCCTAAATGACAAATCACCGAGCTTATTTACTTAACGTAACTTGCTCATTAATCTCATCCAACCGGCGCTGATAGCCATTGATCTCTTCAGCGGAAGTCTCGCGGATAGACGAGAAGAAGCTCTCAAAACCGGCCAATTTATTGACCAGATCTGCCTTTTCGGACACCTGTAGGCCGTCGACCGCCCGCTTAGTGCGTATATAATTGGCTGACAGCCGAGCCTTAAGTGCTTTCATTGGATCACTCAATTGGGGTATACTTTTACGCTCTCGAGTCGGTTGTGGATCCCGTACCGGACCGGGAGCTGTTGTAACAGCCATTGCATTTCGTTGATAACCAAATTGGTTGTTAAGCAACAGTTGATTAAAGTGGCCATCGGGTGGCGATTGTGTTGGCATAAAGTCGGCCCTCACGTAAAAGCAGTTGGCCACACGTTGCCGCCGGAATGCAACGGTAGGTGTTCCTATTTATACTAGTTTGTTTTTAACAAGTTTATTTAAGGTTAAATCTGTTTTCATATACCTCGGTAAGTCGTAGTGTTGCTATCATTAACGGCCAGTGCGCTAACATTATACCTGCCGGCGCCGCTATAGTCGGTAAAGTAGGCGTAATAATAGCCAGAGTTGTGATACAAGTTTAACGGGACGTTAGTGCGAGTATCGCCCGGTCTGTCCACTGTTGCCGTCACTATAGCGCCCACAATCGGTTCATCGCTTTTACAAAGTTTACAGACAACTAACGGCGGACAGTCGTCTTTGGGTGGGCGTAAAAACACTTGTAATTCAATGGCTTGAGCTCTGGTAGGGTTACTCTCAAAGACCAGATGCGCTCTAACAGCACTTGATATCTGTGTTGTTAGTTTTATAGTCCAGAGACCCGATTCAGTCGACTCCAGGTATAGTCTGCACTCTTTCTGGTTCAACCGTTTGGCTATTTGTCCGCCACCTGTAGTGCTATAGACGGCACCCGACGGGCCGGTGATGTCTACGTCGATGTCTTTGATGGCTTCGGAGCGGATTTGTATTTGAGTGTTGCGTCCGATGTCGGCCTCAATGGGCACTCGAGTCTCATATGTGTTGCCATTTATGACCACAATCTCATTGACCACAGTATGAGTGACCACTTCTTCCATCTCTTTACTGGTGATAACCTCTTTCATCGCTGCTTCCATTACCTGACCCATCATTTCATGGCTCTCTACATCCGTACGACTTGAGCTAAACACCTGACCCACTGTTGCGGTCGACAGTCTTTCCAGGTTTGGGTCGGCGTTCAAACCGATTGCCAAACAATACAAGTGTACCTAATATTCAAATTACATAAACAATTTTATCGGTATTCACATATTTATTTTTCTAATAAATACTTAAATAAACTAACCTGTTTGCTTATTAATTGTGGTAAAACATCGCCCACATAATCCTTTTTACCCACAGTTTGGTCGCCATCGGTGGCCAAAAATATCTTTGCCCCTTTAGTGTCCACTTTTGCGCGACTAAAAGCCGCCAACGCCTCCGCAATACCGGCCCTGATATCAGTTCCCTTAGCCCTGTAATTGGTTGGTACGGCTGCTACAATGCTTTGCCTAACTGATTGGTTTGTGATCTTGGTCACTTCGTGCAAAGTGTCTGCTGTTTTGTTAAACACCACAATACCCACATAATTACCATCATGTATATTATTAATACAGCGTACAGTTTCTGTGTGTAGTGCCTTAATCCGAACGCCGCGCATACTTCTCGACACATCCAATACAAATACTATTCGCTCAGACATTACCTATAGTAATTATTAATTTTATAAAATTGTATTTTGTTACTTTGAATGTCATTCAGTTAGTTAGCGTTTATAAATTTAGTATTATTATTATTTACTTTAAAATTACAAGAGTTAACTAGATTCTGTAAAGAGTATATAAGAGTGCCACATACGCAGTTTTTGTGCATACTCTATTCATCGACTTTGGTGACGTGGTATGCATTATATAGAAAAATTGACCAAAGTCGATTAGTAAAATATGCACAAAGACTGCGTATGTGGCACTCTTATATACTCTTTACAGAATCTAGTTATCTCTTGTAATTTTAAAGTTGTTACAAAAACGCGACGCGCAAAATATACTGAAAGCCCCTATATACAAATGTATGTTAAATTCAATGGTTAGCGAAGAATTCTTAGCTTGATAAACAAGGATAGCACAGCTATGCTATACGTTAACAACATATCGGATATTGCTTAAAGAATAAATTAGCATTATCTACAGATTTAATATGAATTCTATAGACTTAACATTAACCCCTTAGAAATAGCACTGTCCCATTGAGCATTAGCAGTAGTCTCATAGACTGAATATTTTTTATATAATTAGAATTGCCATAAGCTCAGCACTGATATAGACTCATCATTGCAAATAGTGTTATTATTGTTCATAGAGTTTTCATTGCTCATAGACATAGTATTCTCAATAGATTTAGGATTGCAATAGACTTAGCATTACCCATGTTAAACCTATCTAATATACTTAACATTAGTCCCATAGGATTAATATTACCCATATAATAACATTAGCCCTATGTTAAAGTATTGAAATAGACTGAATATCAATGAATGAATAAAATAATATTCTGAATAAATATCCCAATTTCGACGTAATCGACAAAGGTTATACCTAAATTAAGTAATTTACTATTAATTTTGTACGTTATTTATGGCTTAGGGGGTTCTAAATTAATGTAGCTTTGCACTTCAATTCTGTATAATAAATGAACTTTGTATTCTAAATAAAATATTTATATCTATTAATTATTAACTATAATAGATTATTATAGACTATAATGTAATATATTTTTTATATTAATTTAATATTACTTACGAAAAATAGATTTATCAGTGGACTTAAGCAAATATATTTTTAATTTATGGTGAATGTTTATAAATATTTAAGTGAACATTTTAATTTAAGCCAATATTCAAACTTAATGTTGTGTCAAAGTTTTTATCTGGTAAATAGAATAACTCGACTTATTATATTTATATTGCAACCCGTATTTAATTAACATTAATTTTTTAATATGTTAGCAATTATAAGTTATATAAACTATAAAATGCAATTAATCTACTTACCCCAAAAGCTTATTTGAATGAACAATCTTACAAAAACATTAAGAAATGGCAGAAATATTTTGTAAAAAGTTGATTATTGTATAAGCTATTCAGTATAGACAATATTGTTAGAAAAGTATTAATGCAATGAATATATAACTTATTATGTATTAACTGTTTGCAACTCGTTATGTAATTAATCGCATATTACTAACAAATCAATGGAGTGAGAAGTCACTGGTGTGAGAACTCTTTATTAACTGTACAAATGATTTTTAGGAGTTATATATGGCAGAGGGCAGAGTTCTCACATCATTGAGGACTCACTTCAATGAATAAATAGTTATCCTAAATAAAGATTATTATTACAAAACATAAAAATATATTAATCATATACAGTAGACATTCGGTTTTGACAAGCGCGATTTTAACAGAATTCGGTTTTAACATAACATTTTGTTAGCACCGACGAGCGATATTAGTACTGTTAAAGTATCCGATTTTGACAGAATTCGATTTTAACACACATTTTTAACAGCACCGTAA